CCTTTCGATTTGTATTTGAATTGATAGACGGAACGGAAGAGCAATTCAGATTTACCAGAATACCCTTTGGCGCAGAAGCGAGCCCCTTTCTTCTCGGAGCCACCTTGCAACACCATTATGATAACCAACCACAGGAGAACCATACTGATACTCTGTTGACACTTACGGAGAACACATATGTAGATAACTTAATGAAGACTGGGGACAGTGTCGAAGAGTTGAAGGAATTTAAGCACGAAGCTACAACCATCATGGAGGAGGGGAAGTTTCCTGTTCATAAGTGGGAGTCAAATGTTCATTCGCTAGAGAGTGCGGACATGCCCGATCCTGGAAAGATACTGGGTTTGACATGGCATAAACAAGATGACGTATTAGAGATCCAAGTTCCTGAACGAGATAACGGACAGCGAATTACAAAGAAATCTATTTTGAGTCAATTTGGCTGGTATTTACGATCCGCTCGGAATTATATCCCCAACAGTTGTGGAAGGTAAACACATTTATCGCGAAGCATGTGATGAAAATCAAAACTGGGATTCAGAAGTGTCTGCGGTGCTAGCCAAGGATTGGTTAAAATGGACTAGACAACTTCGCAACGTACGAATACCGAGGAGCGTGATTCGAGAATGCAGGAAAGTGAAGGCTGTTCACTTACATCTCTTTGCTGACGCGAGCAATTTGGCTTGCTCTGCAATGACCATTGCTGTTGTCGAACACGATACGGGAACAGTGAAAGGGTTTCTAACATCAAAATCTCGAATCTGTAAGCGTAACACATCCATCGCACGCTTGGAGCTGATAAGTGGTCAGATGGCAGCAAACTTAGCCAGGAATCTTGTCAACGCTCTGAAGAGACTGCCCGTCAGATCAGTGACCATCTGGATGGACAGCCTGGTCGCTCTTTACTGGATTTCAAGCCCTGGAAAATCATGGAAGGTGTTTGTCGCAAACAGGGTGAAAAAGATCGCGGAAATAACAGAGGAAATCGGGATTCAATGGAAGTATGTGCCATCAGAGAAGAATGTTGCAGACGCGGGAAGCCGAGGAGCTACGCTCAACCAAATGGAGAACAAAGATTGGTTCGACGGTCCGGAGTGGCTGCTGAACGAACATGATTGGCCTTCCCAGCCGACGTTGCAACGCTCGTCCTCGGTGACAGATGAAGCGAAACCAATCAAGGAAATAGTTGCATTCGTCAATGAAAACCAACAAGACGAGTGGGATCTCTTGCTAAGGCGTAAACCTTATTGGAACACTCTAAGAATTACCGCTTGGGCATTACGATTTGTCCATAACAGTCGAGCAAAAAAGATGGGGACAGAAATAATAAAGGGCCCGTTAACTACGAACGAGATAACACACTCCAGAGACGTCTGGATAAGGAAAGTACAAGGTCACATTCCAGAAGACACAGAGAGTAGCGGTTGGAGGCTGGAGAAAGACGAGGAAACGAAGATCCTGAAATGTGTGGGAAGGATTCAAGGTTATTCACCAATTTACCTAGAAAACGGATTGTTTGTTGAAAAACTGATTCGCCGTATTCACGAACAGACATTGCATTTGGGAATTGCTAGTACCATGGGTGTTATTCGAGAGGAATGGTGGGTTCCTCGGTTGAGATCATTAGTAAAGAAAACAATAAATTGTTGCCATACCTGTAAAGTTTTCTCAACAAAGCCATACGGTAAGACAGACACATCACCTCTACCACAGTTTCGCACGGAAGCGAGCAAGCCCTTTCAAACCACGGGTGTCGATTTCGCCGGGCCGCTGGTTGCAAAGTCAACAAGAAAAGAGAAGGCAAAGCATCTATTCTTATTTTCACCTGTTCGGTCACGCGAGCTGTTAATTTGGAAGTCACGAAGTCACAGACCGCGGAAGAATTCCAAGACAAGTTAAACGCCTTCATATGTCGGAAGACGAGACCACAACGCATCATATCGGACAACGCAGCAGTCTTTAAAGCTACAGCCCAGTGGATAAAAAAGATCCGGAAAAGCGAAGCACTACAAGATTTCTTGGCGAAACAAAGAATAACATGGCAGTTCAATTTAGCAAAATCCCCTTGGTGGGGAGGGATGTACGAAAGGCTAATAAAGGAAGTGAAGAAGACGTTGTATAAGACACCAGGCAAGACCCATCTTACGTTAGATCAACTTATCGCAGTGGTAATGGACATTGAACGCCATTTAAACAACCGCCCACTAACCTACATCGAAAGTGACGGAGGGGAGCCTCAAGTACTGACACCCAACACCATTTTATGGGGCGACGATTCACATATTTTAGAAGACCGAGAAGAAGACGAAAGTGAAGTTACGAAGATGCAGAGACGTCTCAACGCCGCCAGACAACACGCGTGGAACCGTTGGCACAGAGAATACATACACAGCCTTATGGAATCTCATCGCATAGTCAAAGGTGACGGACAACTGCCGAAAGTCGGGGAGATCGTATTAGTACTCGGGGAAGAAAAGAACCGTGGGCTTTGGAAGAAAGGCAAAGTATTGCGACTTATATTGGGAAAGGACGGAGTTGTGCGAGGAGTTGTACTTCGGCATAAGGGCCACGAGATTGAGCGACCTATTCAATTAGTTTGCCCTCTAGAGATACGTAGCAGCGAAGTAGAAGAGCCGAAAGCGCCAACGCCAGAAGTCGAGGAGAAACAGGAGAGACCACCAAGGCGTGCAGCAGAGAAAGCAAAGGAAAGAATTCGACACTGGCTTGCTGATGAGGACTGACTGGAGAAACTATTTCATTGTACATTTCGTTGAGTTAAAATTAAGTTACACGTAATTTTAAGGGGAGTGTGACCCAAATTTAGGTATCCCGCCTATTCGCGGGCGGGATGATTGACAGTACCGGGGGGAGGAGAAAAGGACACGAGGAACATTTGAGCGAATACGAACAACAAACGTTTGAGACGAGAGAGTTTAGTCGAAATTTATTTGTATTTTATTTTACTTTGTTCTTATTTATTATATTATTTTTTACTTGTGTGTGAGTGTGAGTGTGTGCCGAGTTACGGGTCGGTACAAGGTTGCTATAAATTACTATTATTTATTTATTGTTTTGAATAAACAGATGAACGGCGTTCAACAGTTATGAACACGCTCAGTCATGTGGGATATTGTGCCACTATTGTCGAGGAAACTTACACGTATATCAAATGTGCCCGTTTCATATTTTTATGTATTTAAATAGCTGTACAAGGGCCTTTCAGAGGGTCGGGAAGGGGGCAATTTGCCTCGGGCGACCCAAATTGGCCTTTCAGAGGGGGCAAAGGGGGAAATTTGCACAGAGCATTCAGGGCAATTAACAGGGTCCTTTCAAAGGGGGGGGGGGGCAAAGGGGGCAATTTGCCCCGGGCGACCCAAAGGGGGCCCACAAATTTGCAGAATAAAGAGAACAAAATTTCGAACGTTTTTTTTTATAAAAATGGCATGAGAAAAAATTTTCTAAACCTAAATTTTACAGATATTAGTTCCCCCATCCTCCCCCCGCTCTCCAACATTTTTGGGAAAAGTAGGGGCCCCGAAATAAAAATTCGCCCCGAACCCCCGCGAATTTCTCTGGTAGGCCCTGGCTGTATCCTATATAGATATAGCTCTTTAATATAGCAGATACCATTTAGTGTTAATCATCAATTAGACGAGAATAGAGTTAATTTGTTTATTTTTTGTTCGTGGCGAAGAGGGAGTATTAAATTTAAAATGGTTACTATAAATTTGCGAGAAATATGAAAACTTCCTCGTGCGACATTTAAATTTATTGTAATTTATATACACAACACTCAGGGGCGGATTCAGACCGTTGCAACCGTAGCATATGCTACGGTCAGATTTTCCTGAGATATATTTTTCCAGGTTGTACCTTTTTTAAAGTTATTAAAAACTAAAACGTTTGATACTATTTTCAATTGCCGTTATTTTCAATTTTTCATTGAAACTTGGTGCAATTTTTTTTAAATTTACTAAATCATATTGATACAATTTTATCGAGTTTTTATTTCATTTTGGATCATTAAATTCGGGTTTTTCCGGTCTTGAACCCGCGACCTTCAAATTACTAGATCGACGCTCTACCAACTGAGCTACACGGTCAGACGGATTTAAGACTGGAAATTATGAAATATATACTGAATGTCGTAAACATACTCGTTTATATTAATTCAGCATCGAACAATACTAGTTCTGCAAGTGTTATGTTGAGTTGTGTAATTGTACACTCCGTAATATGTTAAGGTGAAAATGTTCTCGAGTGTGTATTATATAATTTCCATACCCAGCGCAAGCAGAAAGATGTTGTCTGCCGCGGCTGGGTCTTGAACCCGCGACATTCGAATTACTAGATCGACGCTCTACCAACTGAGCTACACGGTCAGACGGATTTAAGACTGGAAATTATGAAATATAATACTGAATGTCATAAACATACTCGTTACTATATTACGGAGTGTACAATTACACAACTCAACATAACACTTGCAGAACTAGTATTGTTCGATGCTGAATTAATATAACTAGTATGTTTATGACATTCAGTATATATTTCATAATTTCCAGTCTTAAATCCGTCTGAC